ACGTCTGGTTCTACAATACGCATCTCACAGGAAACGTGGTAGTGTGAGACCACCAAGAGCAGGGAGCAGATTGAAAATCCAAGAACTGAAATCCTCTAAAGACATTGTTGAGGCCTAAAAACATTAGGATGCTCTGTGGCAGACTTCCATTCCAGTTTCCTGGTAGACTACAAATCTCAGTCTCCCTTAGGATTTTAAGTGACAATGTGTGAGGTGTGTGTGTGGGGGGGGGTGAGAGAGAGAGAGAGAGAGAGAGAAGAGAGAGAGAGAGAATGTATGTGTGTGACAGAGAGAGAGAGAGAAAGAGAGAGAGAATGTGTGTATGTGAGACACACAGAGAGAATGTGTGCACTGTGAGTGTATGTCTGTGTGTGTGTGTATGTAAGTGTGTATGATTTTAATTTCAGTACTTCATTTTCCTTTTCTTTATGCTGTAATGAATGGGGGCCTTATAGTCAGGACGTAGATAGAAACAGACAGTCAAGGAAGGGCTCAGATGGAAGAGGGGAGGTAACTTCTCCAATTAATGAGTAGATGGGGGTTTCTATAGTTGCAAATCACAGAAACTAACTCTATCCTGTATAAATAATTATTTATTAAAGGAGAGGTCAACATGAAATCTCCTAGATGGTCAGAGAAACAGTAAAATGTCTGCACCCATGAATAATGACAAAGTCATGCCACCATGCTGTTCACTGGGAACATCATTTAATGCCATTGCGGGCCAGAGGACTCAGAGTCATAGCTCCAATATGGTGACTAATGCTGAGTACAGCATGAATGCTTGTAACCTCTAGCTTCAGGAGCCTGAGGTGACACCACCACCCTTGCCAGGATGGTCTTCTCCACTTCTTTTTTAAAAAATAAATAAATAAATAAAACTATCTTCCAGTTTATTTCAACCAAGGTACCCTACTTGCAAATGCTAAATCTGCATACAGAAACAGTAGCCAAAAGGGAGACTGGGGAGACAGATATATTTGTGTTCTATAGTGGAAGGCTGATTTTAACGTTGTAAGTCAGTCTAGCATAGGAACATTAAAAAATGCTGAGTGGCAGAAACCTAGCAATAAGATAACCATTCATCTGGTCACCTTCCAAAGAGAATGGGGGTTGTCATATGGATTTGTCTGCATAAAAGTATTGACAGGGACAGAAGCCCAGAATGGCCTACAGTGAAATTAATTAATTTCAAAATAATCAAGGAAGAAGGAATAACTAGTACCAAACTACTAATTCACTCTCTTCAAAACGCATGGTCTACTCTATTTTTAAAATGCACTCAAGTCATTTTAAATAAAATAACATGAGTTGACTGTCAAAAGCAATTCTCTATAGAGTCCTTTTGTAAAGTGAATGACTCCCCCGAAGTGTGTTTGTAAGCCCTGGTTGACTTACATTGGTTTACTCTAAGTGGGACACCAAGAATTCAATTAATAAAATAGAAAGAAAAGGCTAGTGGTTATTAAAGATGCAAAGAGTATCTGGTGAAGTATAAGGTGTCTTTGGCTGAAACTTATGACCTGGCTATATAAAAAGACTTCCTATGGGGCCCCTCTGGCAAAATACCAAGTGTCACAGAGGCCCTGGGAGACTCAATGGTGGAAGAGGGTACCACCTTGTCTTACCTCAAGGGCTATGAATTCAATCCCATTCAATGAATGCATGAACACTTAAACTCTATCAACATTTCTTTGTCCCCTTGACATACAAAACACTGGCTAGGACTCACCACTGTAAAGATGGGCAATCCACCCAGTCCCTGCCCATAAAGGAATCTGAGCTCTGTTTGAGAGATAAGAAAGTAGAATGGTAAGAAAAAGAAAAAGCTACTCTACCGCAAAGGTACAAAGTTGTATAGTGTACCAAGGCAGTACAGTGTGGGTCTAGACAGGTGAATGGGAACAGACTAGAGACCCACAGGAGGTGATATACAAACCACACATGAAAGTAGGGGAGGGGCAAGCCAGGCATTGGGACTGTAGGTGTCAATCATGCATATCCTGGCCACCCCGACCTTCAGTGCCACACCATGAATTATTTCTGTAAGTCAGAAAATACTTTTGAGCCCAGCAGTAACAAACATCATGGCTCTAAGTTTGATGAGGTACTGTGAAGGAAGAGGAGGAAGAGATGTAGGAGGAGGCCATTTTAAGAGCTAACTCAGAAGAAATAGGAGCCCCTGGTCGGGTGGATGTAGTGAGGACATGAATTAGCCTAGGAGAGTAATAGGTGATATTATAATAGGTGGTGGGTGATAATAGGTATACATGTAGCCAATAGGCTGAGTTGTGTTTGGACTACATGTACAAGTACAGGCCAGAACCCAAGCATGTTACAGAATAGAGACTACAAAGAAATTCCAGGCTGGGCCACTGGGGATCCATCCTGAAAAGCCCTTTGCCTCTACCCTGTAGACCACAGGGTCATATTTAACAACAGAAAGGTCTCCATGTTGTATGTATTACAGTATTTCCTGCCCCAAGCTATGTTCCCTCCCCTTCAGTCACCACCACCTGAATTTTCCCCACATCTGATTCATGCCTCTAGATCTTAGAGACTTCATTTGGCTTCATCCCCTCTCAACTGCAATTCAAATACCAAGAAAGGGAAGTGCCTCACACCCTTATCAGTCTCCACTCAATTATGCTGCTCTTATCAGGGACTCTCTTATCTTAGCCAGCTTCTCCTTGCATCATCCTCACAGAATTAATCCTTTGTTCGTCTCTGCTCTCCCATCCTGGTTTTTAATCTTCTAAGGGCCGAGACCGGCTGTGTCTTTTTCATCTTTGGCATCTCAACAACTAATCCCATGCCCTGTATACTGAGTGATAGATATTAGATGCCGGATTTTCCATGAGGAGCTGAGACCTTAAACAAAGTCATTTAACCTCTTGAGCTTCCTTATCTCTAACCTATCTGAAAGAGGGAAGCACTAAAATCCACTCCTTGGGTTGCTAAGGGGCTTGTATTGGAACATAGCTGGCAAATTATAAGTCATTGTTCAAATGCAAATCAATATTTGCAAGCAGTCAACGTATTTCGTGGCAAGTAAGTGTGTGTTGATCAGATGAAGGAACAAGTGTACATCTCTTTCATGAACACCCTTTCTCTCACTCAGGAGGGGTCTTAAAATGCAACAGAGGACCAGAGAGGTGTTGGGGGCCAGCCAAGGCTAGTGATGTTGGCATCACAGACAGGCATCTGCATCTCCTTCTGATGCTGAAGCTTAGAGGAAATTGCGGCATGCGGTGATTCTGGAGCCTTTCTCAGTGTGAGACATCAGCCGTTCCACACTGCCAGACCCAACTTCTTAGAAGATCTCTGACCTCTGCCTCATTTGCTCCCTCCTTCCCTGCCCCAGCCAGGGCTTGCTACTCATGTGTCAGCTGTGTGGCCCAGTTGCCATCTATTTTTTTCCTTTACTGGGGTTTGGTTGCTTCTCTGGGTTTCTGCATCTGTTTCTCTTTGAATCTTTAACTGAGTATGTTTCTGCTGAGCTCAAAGTATTTTTATTTCTTTTCCTTCTAGCTCCCCAGCCAATTTTGAAGCCTGCTTCTCTAAAACAGTCGATTTATAAGTGGGTTGATTTGGAACATCCTTAAGCAAAGTTCATTCTCGTTTCTATAAACCCCCTCATTCCTTTCTGTTCTCCTCCCTAAGAAACACCAACTCCATTTAGAAAAAGAAAAAAAAAAAAGACGCATACAGTGTAAGGGATGTGGAGACATAATAAAGAAAGTCGTGGAAAATGTGGTTAGTAGAATCATGCCCAGGAGCAGATGGCAGGACTGAAGGAAGGAATGCTGGCAACAGGGACGTCGGCAGCATCAGCAATCACCCCTAGAGGGGAAAATGCAATAAAGCAGTCACTTAAGAGAAGTAATCTTTGCAGGAACATTAGAAATTATGAGATAAGAAAGCCACAGAGGACCACTGGTCAATACAGAGCAGATGCTTCGATCTCCAGGTTGCAGCGCAGGATGCCCCTGGGGGACAGACAGCTCTGCGCCTCCATATTGGCAACTTTGACTATAAACTGAGAGTTAACAGCCAGGGTGGCCACATCCTAGCTCAAGTTAGCTCTCAGTCCATCTGTTACCATTTATCTGGGTCAGTGATAGTTAAGAATTGAGCAAGTTAGAAGGAAAATTGTCTAGCTTGGTTTGGCCTTTTTGTCTCCTCTTCTTATTGCAGAATTGTCTGTCATGTACCTGTACCACAGGAGTCTTTGGCAACAGCCTGGAAAACTGTGTTTAAATTTTAGGTTCTACAGGAATGTAAAGCCTCATGTAAGCCTGATTGTCCAGAAATCGACAATCATTACTATACTGGTGAAGCCAAACCAGGGTGAAATATAACATTTTGTCCCAGAAGAAAACAGCTGGATCTAAAATAAAGAACTGGGAAGAACCAACTGAAGAGAAGAAAAGGAAAACTTGTTTCTAGAGGAGAAGCCCACACAATGAGTGAAGTGAGCCCTGGCTATGGCCTTCAAGCTGATCACTAACAAGGGCTTCATATCAGCAAACAGTCTCTGAGGGGCTTGGAGGGTGCCTGCCTGCCTGCCTGAGTCAGGGCAACCTGCCCCAAGCATGTACATGCATGGTTTGACTTCTTCCGGAGTCAAAGAATAGAATTAGAACCCCCCCTCAGAAATAAATAAAAACCTAAATAAATAAATAAATAAATGGCCGGACAGAGGCACGGCTGACTTCTGAGAATGCCAAATTCTTCATTTTACAGAAGGAGAGTAAGTACAGACTTTTGCTGCACAACACTGAGAATTAAGTACGAGGGTGTATTTGTCAATCATCCCACCCACAGAAGGACAGCATAGGGATAATGAAACACTAATGCCTGTTGATAGCAGCAGTGCTGATGGATAGGCAAGAGTGAGAGAGAATGTGGAGGAGGAAGAGGAAGGAAAGATAAATCAGCCAGGTCTAATTTCTTGAAAAGTGAAGGAATAAATTTTTATAAAAGCAAAAGGCAAATTCATACTTCGACAGCACATATACTAAAAACTGAATGATATAGACAAGATTAGTGTGGCCCTGCACAAGGACAACATGCAGATTCATGAAGCAGTCCCTTTTTTGTATTTTATTTTATCTTAGATGCCTGTTTGTTTTCTAATGAGAGATAAAGAAGAGTAAGATCCTTTTACTTACAGCAAGAAGACGCATGTTAATCAAATGAAGCCAGACACAGGGCAGTAAGTACCACATGATCTTCTTCACATGAGTGAAGTTGAAACGGGGAATTGAACTGAAATGAAAGAGGAATTATGAGGGACTGGGGAAAACACTGAGGTTAAAGGAAGGTGGAAGAACACCATAAAAGTACCCATATAAAAATGTAGCAGTAAATCCCATCCATTTGTGCAGCAAATAGGCGTTAGTCATATTTTTTAGACTGAGTTTTGATATATATGAGTGTGTTCTTACATGTCAACACACATACCATGTACATGCTATGTGCCCATTGAGGCCAGAGAGGACATCAGGTCACCTATAACAGGAGCTACAGAAAACTGTGAACTGTCAAGTGTGTTTTGGGAACTGAACCTGGGTCCTCTGCAAAAGCAGTCAGTACTCTTAACAGCTGAGCCATTTCTCCAGCCCTGATATTATTTCTTAAATGTGTAAATAAAAAACAACAAGCAAGCAAGCAAGAAAGAAAGAAAGAAAGGAAGGAAGGAAGGAAGGAAGGAAGGAAGGAAGGCAGAGAGAGAGGGGGAAGGGAGGAAGGGAGGGGGAGTGGGGATTCTCCCATGAGAACTTCTTTATATAACCCCTTTCTCCTCTATCTTACATAAAGTGATTTTTAAACACCCCAAAGAGAAGATGAGTGCTTACATATTAAGAGACATCCTTCCTATCTCCTGAGAATGCCCCAGAATGCAGAAATGCTAGTTTATTAGTTTTAAGGCATAATTTCAACATATACCCCTGACCGTCTTGAGACTCATTACACAGAGCAAGCTAGCTGGCCTCAAATTCAGGGAGTTTGGTCCGCCTCTGCCCAAGTGCTTGTATTAAAGGAGTTCACCATCACACCTGACCATGCTCTTAAAAAGAATTATTCACAGATTTGATCTATTGCACAGATTGTCAAATCTGCTCCAATTCTATTCCAAAAGCATTAATGAGAACACACTAAGCACCAGGCATTATACTAAGTGCTAGACATCTAAAAATAAATAAAGAGGAAAAAGGAGCTTGTGGCTTAGAGGGAGAAAAAAACAGAGCCAAGTAATGATGCCACAGAGGCAGTGCAAGCAGTGGAAACTACAGTAGTTACCCGCCTGGCAGAAGTGGGGGCTCTTCATCAAAACTCTGCCTGAACTCCTGACTGGGAAGGGGTGAGGCAAAGAAGGAAGGGAGACCCACCAGTCAGGGTTGGCAGAATAATCAGAGTAACAAGTATCCGTATGGTCCTTTTGTGGGGCTGGGCACCTCCATACCCAAAGCAACACAACACGATACATGCATGCTAACTTGTGAAAACAATTCTTGGCAAACTTGACCATCTGTTGTGTCTGGGATCTGTAGTCTTATCCTTCTGTGAAAATTAGCTTGTTTAAACATTTCACAGTGAAATAGCCATCCACATGTATGGTATTATTATTATTATTATTATTATTATTATTATTATTATTTCTGGAAACATACTGATGTAAAATAATGCATTATGGTTATGAGAATTTCAATCATGCTGTTGAGTCGAGTCAAGGTCAAGGCTGAAGGTAGGGAGACAGATCATTTGGAGCTGAGAGTCACATTAACACAAGCATGTAGAAACATCTTGGTAATTCCTTGATGTATAGCTGTTGGAGCAGCTGCTGTAAGAAAGAAGAAAAAAAACTCATTGATTCTAGACACCCAGAAAAGGATATAAAGGGGAAAGGGTGGGGTTTTTTGTTTCATTTGTTTGTGTTTTGTTTTGCTTGTTTTTGGTCTGTTTAAATGTATGTTTGAGAGCCCCATATGGGGAAGAGAAGATAGATTGCTTGTTTTACACAAAGCTCAGCACTGGTGTTTGCAAGTGTGTCTTATTCTTTGCCCCTGCTGTGGTGGCTATGATGTAACTAGCACTGTGACCAGTTTGGGGTAAGGACACTTGGTGGGACTATGATGTAAATGTGATGTTCATAAAATGTATGGCAATTGTGTAAGTGAAGATTCTTCATGATTCCAAAGCCACTGGTGTGAAGTGGAGTGGCAGAGACTGGAGCACCAGCCAAGATTATACCTCCCTTTGGAATTTACAATGCACCATGGCAGAACTGGGTAAAGGTTACCAACCCTTAGAAAAATCTGTGCACATACCAAGTGTGAAAAGACAAAGATGAAAATGATATTTTAAACAGAGGAGGAAAAACAAGCCTTTGGAACTATATCAGACATGTAGTTCACAAGAAAATTACAAGCTAAATATTCACCAAAAGCCATATTGAGAGGCTATAATATGCAAAAGAATAAGTATACAAGTGCATGGCCCTTTGTCTTCACATGAAGACAATTTCAAATGCATTAAAGAGTAGGAAATGCAGTGGGAGTGGAATAAACATTAACAAACATAGGTATCTTGGGGCTGGGGATGCTGCTGAGTTCATAGATTGTTTGCCTAGCATGCAGGAAGCCCTAGATTCAATTCCCATTTAGCATAAAACAGGTTATGGTGGCATAAACCCATAATACCAGCACTTGGGAGGCAGAGGCAGGAGAATCAGAACCTCAAAGTCATCCTTAGCTTCATGGTAAGTTCAAGGCCAGCTTGGGCTAAAGGAATGAGTTGGAAGAGTGCTATGAAAATGAAAACCATGGATTTGTGTCATAAGTCTGTCATTTATTTGCTGTGAGGACTCTGGTACAACTCACTAGTCCTCTTTGCTTATCTATAAAATAAGAGACTTCAAATACATTAAGGACAGAAAACAGATTTGAAGTTAGGCATTGACTCTAACCAATCAGTACTGTCTTCGGGGAGTTGTGATAATGTGGGTTCTAAAACTACACCCAGGTTCAGTAGGGGGGGGAAGTGCCACTTTAGATTAGCAACAACTATCATGAATTTTAAAATGCAAAATGTTGGAGGAAGAAAGCTGTACATATGCTATCCCTTTGAGCAGATGATAAGGAAGTCTTCCAGCTCTAAATAGAAGGGGCAGGATTGTTTTCAGTCTGCTCACACACCTCCTGAGTATCTCAGGCATGATTGCCACTCCTGCACCTTACAATGAAGCTAATGGCAGAAACCCAGCATTTATAGTCTGGGCTATTTCAGAAACACAAACCCATGTCCTTTTAGAATGCAATAAGACTGTGTTATTACGTAACCATACACCAAGAGCTACATGAGCATAAAGGGGAAGACAGCACTGCCTGGGGATGTGGTCTTCAGGACTGGCTTTCAAGAGTAATAAGGGGCTTCTAAGCATCATATCAGACAGATTTGCACACATGTGCAAAGTGTTCATCATGTTTAGGAAAAAGCAGGGAGCCCAGTAAAGGTACAATATCAGGTTTTGCTCAGGAGTAAAAAGAAATATCCCAGGAAAATTAAATCAAGACAGTTTGGCACACTCTTTGTAGGCCAGAATATAAAGGGTATGCTAATCGGGTAATGAGGATTCCAATAAGATTTTTTAAAATTAGACATAAACACTTGAACTTAAATGAAAGTGTTCCATTTCCCCAAAGCCCAGTGAAGTCCAGATTGGACAAAGCAGTGCAAGCTTGAAATTCTGCATTTGGGGCAAATGTATTTAGAAGACTTGTATATAATACTACATGAGAGAAGGGGGGCAGGATTAAATCCAGGGACACAACAAGGCTCTTTGGAAACAATAATGGCAAAATCAGGAAGAAGTAAATGTAAGAGAATTTCAATTTCCTCAGAGGGAAGAAAACTTAGGTTGACCAGGAAGAAGTCCATGGAAAAAGTTGATGCTGAAACTGGAGATAGTGAATGACCAGTGTCCATGAAGTCAAGCTGAGAGCATCTAGTAAGAAAATTCAAGTCTATTACTTTCTATTAAGTAATTTGCTTCCATTTGTTTAGTACTTGATAAAGTAATGTGTGTTCACAGATTTACCAAGTAGGTTTAAGATTATCATGGTCCCCACCCTCTGGGGAGGATGCTTTTAATCCCAGCACTTCAGAGGCAGACAGTCAGATTTCTGTGAGTTCAAGGCCAGTTTGGTCTACAGAGCAAGTTCTATGATATTCAGGGCAGTTACACAGAGAAACCTGAAACCTTATCTCAAAAAACCAAAAGGAAAATGACTATCAAGGTCTGTATTATTAAATTTAAGGACATTTACAAAAAACAGGGGCAAGTTAGGTGACTGAGTAGGTAAAGGCTCTTGCCGCCAAACCAGATAACCAAGTTCAACTCCCAGGATCCACATAATTTGAAGTATAGAACTGACTCCCAGAAGTTATCCTCTGACCTCCACACAGGTACCTATCATGTACACACACATACCACCCCCACCACACACCCAAATGTTAAAGAGGATTATTTCTATAGTGCCTTGCAGAGTCTCTAATACATTATCAGTGTGCTTGTGAGCCCAGTAACCATGGGATGGGTGCATTCAGGGAGCACCTCACAGGACAGGACAGGTGCCCAACAGCAACTGTAAGCACAGAACCAATTGTCTGAAAGTATCTGTAGAATGTTTTAGAGATCATTCAATTTGAAGCAACCTAGTTTATTTTTATCCTCATTTTCACAAAGAAGTCATTTTTCTTTCATTTTTGAGGCAAAGGCATTGGATTTCAAAGGACAATAAAGCACATACAGACAGAAAACTCAAGTGGGAATCAGTGAACACAAGGGATGAGTCGCTAGGGAGGTGACTGAAACAATGCGCACACTAGTGCAGTTAAGAACACCTCCAGAGGAGCTATTTCTGGGGAGATGGGGGGGGATGGGGAAGCAATCAGAGGAACAGGAAGCCAAGTGTGGGAAGCACCAAACACACCAAGATGGGTTCTTCCCATCCTCGTAATTTCCAGCACTGCATTTCAACTACAGATTTGCCTTTCGATGTCAACCAGCAGCTACTTCAATCTTTAAACTACTTCT